GCCTGTAATCCCAGCACTCGGGAGGCTGAGGCAGGAGGATCGCTGTGAGTTTGAGACCAGCCTGGGCTATATAGTGAGTTCCAGGTCAGTCTCAACTACATAGTGAGACCCTGTCTCAAAAAAACAAAGCAAAACATAAAAAGTAGAGCTTAAATTTCCCTCCATTGAGAGTAGAAGTGACTTGCTTCAGATTAACAGCATGTGGCATAAGAGACAAGTTGGGCATAAAAGGCACTGCAGCTTCCCTCTTGTGTTTACTCTCAGATTGCTTGCCCGGGGAGAAGCCAGCTGCCATGTCATGTGGATACTCAAGCAGATTCACAGAGAGGCTCACACAGCGAGGAACTGAGGCCTCCTGGCAGCGGCCATGTGATGAACATCTCAGAGGAGGCCCAGTACCGCTTTGATGGTGCAGCCCTAGCCAGCATCTTGACTACACCCTCATGAAAGATCCTGTACCAGAACCACCTAGTTAACACTCTGAATTTCAGACCCCCAAAAACCCATGAGATACTTGTTTTAAGCTGGCAAGGTTTGGAGTAATTCACTTTGTAGCAAATAATAACATAAGTAGTATGGCCAATATAATTTCTAAATAAATGCACAAAATTGGGGGTACCTGTTCAACATGTATTTTACTGATGGTATCAGTAATGACATCAAAAATATTTTAAGGAGGCCGGGCGTGGTGGTGCACGCCTGTAATCCCAGCACTCGGGAGGCTGAGGCAGGAGGATCGCTGTGAGTTCGAGATCAGCCTGGGCTACATAGTGAGTTCCAGGTCAGTCTCAACTATACAGTGAGACCCTGTCGCAAAAAACCTCCCAAAAAATATTTTAAGGCTGCTGTTATGGGTGGTAGTTGACCTAGAACCTCAGTTCTAGTTACCTGAACAGGCAAGACTGGCCCAGAATCTGATATTCTTAAAGAAGCTGGAAGAAGATACTTGAAACACTCCGTCCGACTCCTGTCCTTTGGAGGGCAGGCTACAACAAGGACGTCATTAGGATCTACAAACACTAAGATTTAAGGTTATGCAAAAAGTTAAATGATTTTCAAATGTTGGGTATATTTTAAACTAAATGTGCCCCTTGAGCATTCACTAAAGACTGACAGCAATGCAGACTCCAGGGCAAGTGCAGGAAGTGATCAGAGTCCACAAAAGTGAGTGGGTTTAAACCTACCGGAGAGGCCTCTGCTCCTGCAGGGGCTCCTTTCCCAGCATCTCCTACACCAGATGTAAGTGCAGTCTTCTTCCTCTCAATGGTTCGGGTGGGAGAAGACTTGAATGAAGATTTAAGGGGGCCAGCGGGAGCTACATGAAGACAGGCATAGAATACTAGAAAGTTACAGTATAACAGCCAAAAACACAGGAAGTACAGGTGGAAAAAGCAGGGAGAGAAGTTGGGAAGAACACAACACTTCTATTAAAATTTAACACGAACAATCTACTTTCTCAAAATACTTTTTCTATTGTACACAGAATGGATCTCATCTAAAAGGGCTTCCAGACTCAAGTCCGGTTCCTTTCAGAAGTTTAAAGTACTCTGGAGGCAGATAGATCAGATCTTGCACTGCTAGATCACCTTGGACAGGTTAATTAATTTCTCTAAATCTCAATTTCCTTATGAAGTTAACATAGCTGACCTGACTATTGTTCTTGGAAGAACCTGCTTACAAGGTTGGTCCCTGGCTGGTACCTAGATTTCAGGAAGGTTCTTGATATTTACCAGTGAGTACTTAAACTGTTTCTACAAATAATAATTTTAGGTGTCTGGAATTTGGGTGTGTGCCTGCCTAACATGATCATCTCAGTAAAAACTCTGGGTGCTGTTTATAAATAGTCCTAAGTTGTCAATATTTCATGTGTTGTCATATTTGCTTGAGAACTAAGCACATTATGTGTGACTCACTAGGACAGAACCCTTGGAAATTAGTACTTGGTTTTCTTTGATTTCTCCCCATGTACTTCCCTTTGCTACTTGTATGTACCCTACTACAGCAAATTAGAATCATGAGTAGAACTATGCAGAGTCCTCTGAGTTGAATCAGCAAACCTTGGAGAGGCCTTGGGAACCTCAGACAACTGATCTCAGAAGAAGAAATCACTAGAATGACCCTGATTCATTTAAATGTGGTAAAAGCATCGTTTGGGAAGAGGCAGGATAAGGGGGTGAATCTATGCTGTGTAGGTGGCTACGGAGTCATCCATGGATTACGAACCAGCAGCCAAGTTGCTGTCTGTTGTGAGAGGTGAAAGTTGCCTACAGAATCTGAAAATGAACATAAGAGAGTTGGCTTGATGGATTCCTTGGCTGCTTTTGGCCATGCTAGTTAAAAGTGAGAGAAAATGTGCAGCTGAGGTATGCCTTTGGGCTTGTTTGCTCCTCCAAGTCGAAGTGGGAAATGACCTTCTTGATTTCTGTCATCAGTAGGTAGGAATAAGTCTCCGTAACTAGAGATTTTTATCTAATGGAGACTGGAGAAGGGGAGATGTGAAAATATTTTCTGGTCATCCCTATTTTCACCTTAAAGATAAAAATCTTTGCAATTGTTATGTACGCATATAACAATCGAACCTGGCTTGAACCCAGGGCTTTCACACTGAACTACATCTCCAGCCCAGACAGAGATACATGGTACTCTGGAGTTTTAAAATTCAACTGGTACAAATGTAGAGCATTTTTCTATAGGGCCCTACCCTGAAAATATCCTGGATAATGCTGGACCATCTGGATCACATACAAGTACTCACAGAGCTTGTTCTGTGATGGGACCATGCAAAATCAAGCTGTTCCTCGGCTCTACATTTCTGATGCAGAGCTTATAAAAAGCTGCGGGTTGGGAAAGGTTGACAATGTGACCCAGTCAGCCACTCCTGACTCCATTCCCTCTAGGGGATGTGTCACTACTGTTGGCTTATGATTTCCCAAAGTAGTTTCAGTTTAGAACAATGGACTGGGAACCTTGGGACTTTTCTCCCAGTACACACACCTCAGTAAAGCAATTTGTTAGATACAACTATCATGAGAAAGGGACTGATCATTTTTAGACTGTTCAATGGATAAATGACCAAGAAAAAAAGTATCAGAGGTAATATAAACCTATTTTGAAAATTTATGTCCTAATGCCTAAACATAATGTGTCTTTCTGATTGAGTATAAAAAGATCTTTTTTAGGGCTGGGGATTTAGCTCAGTGGTGCTGCTGCCTGCCTTGCAAGCACAAGGTCCTGAGCTCAATACCTGGTACCAGGAAAAAAAAAGGTGTTTTTTTAGTAGTCAGGTGTGGTGGTGCATGCCTATAATCTCAGAACTTTGGGACGCTGAGGTAGGAAAACTGCATGTTCGAGCCCAGCCTGGGCAAATTTGCAACTTGGTGAGATCTTGTCTTAAAATAAAAAATAAAGCGCTAGGGAATATAGCTCAGTGTGAAGGCCCTGGGTTAAAGCCCCAACAGAAAAAAAGAAAAAAAAAGATTGCAAAATTAATTTTGTCTTTAAGGGTGAGAGTAGGGGTGATTGAGAAAATGTAAAGTTTTGCTTGCTGAATGGGACATAAAGACATATATTAAACCCAAGCACCCGGGAGGGTACATAAGAAATACTGTTACAAAGACCTTTGTTATCTTTGTTTTCCAGAATTGCACCTGGAAGCCAGGTCTTCTTCTAGAAGGAAAACCCGCTCTGCTGTCTATATAAGCTGCTATGAGCATAGACTGCTGAACCTAGATGACACACAATAGCACGACTCAGCAGGAGTGGGCCAGCTCCTGAGAGGTCTCTGCAAAATACCTTCAGATGCCATTCATACATCCTAGGATGAACTAGTTTGGGATTGACGGTCTCAGGAAGCCCCTCTGGAACCATGACGTGAACTGAATACACACTGGACTGAGCAACCTAGAGTAAGAGACATCACAGTGGGGGAGGCCACAGTAGAGACTACTTGCCCAGCAGCATATCAACTCAGTATACCCTAACAGCATCAGCTTTTGGTCTCCAGGAAAACATCGGAGCCCTAAGGGACTGCATTTCTTATGTGTATGCCCAAGCTGAGACATTGCCCCGGCCCTGGAAGATGTTCAGGTCACCTTCAGTTTAGTGGCTAGAGCTGTGCAGAGCCTAGGTAAAAAGATTCATAAAGAACTAAAAAAAGAGGCCACCTGGTTACCTAAGATAGACCCTTATGGTTAATGGGATTTAACTGCCGAGTCCAGGATTCCTAAAGGGCATAAGAGAAATCAATACTATAGTTTGGTCTCATCCTGCTGTTTGGGGTCTTACTAGTAATTCTTCTGTTAAGAAACAATGGCAATGTGTCATGGGGGTGAACTGTGCAGAAAAGGAATTAAAACTAGGAGACCCAACTGCTCTCCTCGGGAAGGCCTATGTACAAGTTTGGCCCTTGACCAGCATCTGGGGACTTGGATTTTGGCAGAGTTGCCACTGTTAGCTGACAAGTGCCTCACTGTACCTAAAATGTTGGTAAAAACAATATGGTGTATGCTGAATACCTGCTTTCATCCTACAAGTCTGGGAATCTGGGTATGTGCTCACCGAGGGCTGCACATGACCAGTCCCCAGTAAAAATCCTTGGCACTGAGTCTGTAAGAAGCTTCCCTGTTTGACAACATTTCATGTGTTGTCACAGTTCACTGCTGGAGGAAATGAGTCCCAAGTGACATGACTACAGAGGACTCTGGAAGCTTGTGTCTCATCTTCCCCAGGTTCCATTCCTTTTCCTGACTTTGCTGTCTAGCCTTTCACTGGAATAAATCAAGTGAGCGTGCCTAGATGCTAAGTCCTCTTAGCAAGTCATATATTCTGGGCTTAACCTTAAGGACCTATGAAACATTACTCATTCTCAAAATGGGGATACTTCTTACTTGCAGAAGTTTTTTTTTGTCTGAGGTAGAATTAATATATTATCAAATTCTCCTTTAGTAAGTGTCCAACTGAGTGTTTCTGGTATACTTACAAGGTTGTACACCTATAACCACAGTCTAATTCCAAAATATTCTCAAGACACCCCAAAAAAGCCTTTATTCATTTAGCAGCCCTCCCTCTTTCTTCCTTCTGCTAGTGCCTGATAACATTAATCTACTTTTTATCTCATGGATTTGCCTATTTTGAACACTTTATATAAGTGGAATCATAATTTATAGTTTTTTGTATGTGCCTTCCTTAACTTAACATGTTTTCAAGGTTCATCCATCTTATAGCACTGTCAGTATTCCATTCCTTTTCACAGCTAAACAATAATAAACTTTACAGATATACCATGTTTTGTTTATCCATTCACCAGGTGATGGACATTTGAGCTGTTTCCACTTTGTGGCTATCATGAATAATGTTGCAAAAGCATCTGCGTACAAGTGTTTGCATGAACATATGTTTTTAATTTCCTTGGTTCTGTACCTATGATAAGAATTGCTGAGTTACAGGATAACTCCATGCTTAACTTTTTTAGGAATTCCCAGACTGTATTCCACAAAGATACTATTTTACATCCCCACAAGCAATATATGATTAGTCCAGTTTCTACATACCTTCAACTAACATTTGTTATTTTCCCTCTTGAAACAGTTTTAGCTATCCTAGAGTTGGGAAATGCTATCCCATCATGATTTGGAGTTGTATTTCCCTAATGAGTAATGGAAATCTTGTAGCATGATTATTAGCTTCTTCTGTATCTTCTTTATGGAAATATAACTATTTGGAAGCAGCTACAACTAGGTAGACTTTTTAATGCCATTTATAGGTTATTTCACTGCATACTGTATAGAGTATATCTTGGAAATGGAAACCAGATGTTGCTCATATGCAAATAAAAGAACTCCAACTCTCAATAACTTGATATGATGGTCTGATCTAATCTGGTAAAGGAAGGGCTTTGATAGAATGGTCCAGTGTTCATCAGACTTCAATGTTGAGGTCAGGTGGGGCCCGAGAGCTGGCCCTCCTACAAAGCTCCCAGGTGATGCTATGATTGGTGATCCATGGACTACCTTTTGAGTAGAAAGGCTCTAGTCATTCATTCAGCTTTTATTCTGTGCCAATCACTGTGCTGCCTTATTTATACTATTATCTTATTTAATCCTCACGACAATTTAATCAGTTTAACAATAACCCACAACCTTCAGACCAACTCTCATGACAATTTAAAATAAACAACTCCATTTTATAGATGAGCAAACAGGCTTAGAGAAGTTAATTAACTTACTCAAAATGGTATGAGCTAGTGAGCACTAGAGCTGATTATTTGACCCCAGATACTGTGGTCTACAGGCTACTTTGCCAAACCAGCTCTTAAGAAAAGTCTAGTAACCACCACAGCTCAAGAAGATTTTTTTTCTCTAATGAACATACTCTCGGTCATTACATAATTCACTTACCTCTTTAAGAAATAGAGCAACAGCAAAACATTGGTGGGTTAAAATTGTTATTAACCACTGAAGACATTTCATAAAGCCAGCAAATAGGAAGGAAAATACAAAAGTTCATGAATAAATCCCAGGCTGACCAATACCACTACAGGGCTTTTCCTTGGTGTCACCAGCTTTGTCACTTTTACCTGAGTCACTGGCCTGCTCAGAGAGAATGAATGTAGTTCTGCTTCTGGCTAAAGAAGCCTGTGTGGGTGTCAACAGTCGCATAACAAGAAAGCTTTCCATGGGACTAAGGTGTGTGTGATGAGCTGAGGGATGGAATCAAATGAAGAGTTTAAAAAGCAAAATCAAAATAAAACAAAATAAAATGTTTAAACAACACAGTACATGATGCAAATCAAATTCTGGGTGGCAGAACAAATGTGGAAAATAAAAATATTCTAACAAAAGAATGGCTTTGGAGTTTATTATCATAAAATGAAACAAACAATAGGTCATTTAGAGTTTGGGGGCATGCAATAATTCTCTTGGGGTGCCAAAATTCATTCAATATGTTATTATATATATATATATAGTGACCTACATCACTCAAGAGAATTAGCCCACTTCCCAAGGTGTTAGTACAGACTCATTCACTCACCAAATAGATCTAACATTGAGAAAAAGGACTACACCTGGAAAAACACTCATTTTAGGTTCTCTGTTAAGAAATATTTAACACTGCTTTTAAAAATATAAAAATATGTCATCCTATAGTAGTTTAAAATAGATCCGTTCATATTTTCCATGTAAATAAGGGGAAAAATAAACACAAAAATAGTAATAGCCAACTGATTATCAGCCTCAATGGAAGATAATGGGATTCATAATCTAAAATTAAACAAGCAAAACATTTTTGATGATTTAGGAATATATTTATATGGCAACCAACAGAAAGACTTACTTTCTATTTTTTGGGAGCCTGTTAACTAATAAATGGTCTGGGGATTAAATTTTTGGAATTTATAATCTACAAGCAGATTACTTACTTGTCAAGAATATATAATAACATACTTAACATATGTTTGTGTGTTAAACAATGCAAAGATGAATTTAATGCCAATCTGGAACCATAAGAATTAATGAAAACACATGGAATACACTCACTAATGGAACAGCTTTCTAAAGAGAGTGTGGGTGTTTTCTCACCCAACTTTTAATTCCTTACATGTTCTTGGAGCTGTCTCATGAACTGCATCAGAAATCAGCAGCATTCTGACACTCTCAGGGACTCTGACACACATGCTATGCCTCTGGGATGGAGGGGGAGGGCAACGCCAGCAAACAACAACTAGGAAGGAACACCAGCCTCTTCCAAGTCACAAACATCCTCCTACTCACCCTTGGGGATAACGTGACATGCTAAATACTCCATTGGCACCTGACTCCTTCAGGTGTCAATGCTTTGAAATATACATTTATAACACAGGAGCCCTCCCTTCCTTAACTTCCATACTGTGAAAGGCATAAATCTAGGATTCCAATAATTCATTTGAGCCTTCATTAAAATATGGATGGCATTAAATCGATTCAGGTTCTAGAACTGATATCACCTTCCAATGCAAAACAAAACCTGAAAAAGCTGCCCGCCTTTTTCCCTTTTAGAGGTCTTATATTACTTCTGTGTTTCTGTTTTCATCTATGAAGTGGACAGGTTCACAAACCATGTAGGATTGCAGAACCCTGTTTTTTTTCACATAGCAAGTCTCCCAGAAAACTCCGACCATCAATTCTGTTCTTTCTGGCTAACCAACTGCATCCCATCCCTGACTGGGCAAGTACTTTTAAAACTCCTACATATGCACTGTGAAAAGCCAAACAGTTTCTTTCAGACTGGGAGAGTATCAACTCCTGTTCCTATTCAACAACAGTGGTGGTGAACCTACGGCACATGTGCTGCAGTGGGCTGTTTGTATCACTGAAAGCTCTAAAATGTTCACCATGACTGATCTAGGGTGATGCCACTCTTCAACATCCCTTTAGCAAGGCCCTAACGTGCCTACGGTCAAACCACAAGGCTAAGACAATGGTAGCATCTGCAGAAGGCTCAAAAGGGTGGCTCTCGCAAAGGCCAATGTTAAGATGCTCACACCAGAGAGAAGCACACTGGAAAGACCAAGTCTACATGTTCACTTGCCTCGGTCTGGGGAATAGGATATTGCCACAGTAGATGAAGACAGGCGTTTACTCATAGGAGGCTCCAGCTGCTTTGGCAAATTCATAGTTGATGTTGAAAGTGTGTCACATGCTGCAGAGAAATGCATTAAAGATATTGGTATTCAACCACTGTAGACCAAGAAATACATATCCTAAAGTCTCCTTCCTGTCCTCATCCACACACCTCTTACACCACTGTGGCACAGTACACTCTGCTTCCATCATCTTGGTATCTCATTATCCTAATCTAGAAATGTCCAGCTTATAGCAGCCACTGGTCTGAAATATTTTCCTTATGCTCTTCTCTTAAACTTCAAATATTCAACCTTGTTCAAACGTTCAACTAAAGCCATGCTAATTCCACATAATTTTCTTGTGTCCAGGGATTTTTACAGGTATTAACACTACACAAAAACAAAACCAACCTGGATCCAGAGACAAATCCCTACTGAAAATATTTTATGGTTCGACTGGGACTGTGTATGGTGAAAATGAACTTTTCCTGAAGGTCATCTGTGGCTCAGGTTGGAAAGAAATGAGATTTGTAAAGCAAGGAGCTTTATTTAAAGTGGAATGACCTTTGGCAGTTGGTTTTCTTCCTCTTATTAAGAGGAGGAGTTAAGGTAGCCCTTTCACAAATGCTTTAGCAGTTTATGGGTAAGATTTTAAAGTGACTCCAGGCGTGGTGGTGCATGCCTATAATCCCAGCACTCGGGAGGCTGAGGCAGGAGGATAACTGTGAGTTTGAGACCAGCCTGGGCTATATAGTGAGTTCCAGGTCAGTCTCAACTACATAGTGAGACCCTGTCTCAAAAACCAAAAAAAAAAAAAAGATTTTAAAGTGACTCTAGGTTTTATGTTGTCATATTCCAGTCATTACTTCAAACTGGGTTCTAAATTAAATCATTACAGCCAAAACAAGGAATCAAACTCATCAGTAAGGTTTTCAAAAGCCAACTCTTTTGCTCATCTTGTTTTCAAATGAGAGAACTGTCATGTCTGATAATTTCTGCTGACCAAATGACAGTCTTAAAGCTGAAGTTAAAGTCTAATAAATTTGGATTGGGGATATATCAAATATTTACACTTGAAATGATACTTTAATAGTCCTACTTATAAATTTTGCATTACTTTAAAACTATTTTAATGTCTTGGGAATATATACAACCAAGAGAAATAACATAAAACCACATATATAGGGGTATATATTTTTCCTTTTGTCTCAGTATGGCATTGGCCTTTAGAAATTTAATATTTTGCTTGTAATAGACTATTTTGTATTAATTTTGACTTTGAAACATTCCATTAGAATATTTCATCTTCATTATTGAGATTTTTGATAGCTCCTTAAATTGTGTGCCCAGGCCAGGTATCACATTCACCTCATCAGGGCCCTAGGTACTGATCCCCAAAGTGTAATTAATCCACTTTATGTGCACCCCTGTGAGGAAAAGCCACTTCCACAGCCTGTGCAGCAAACTTTGTGTGCCACCAATAAAAATATTCCTTGTCAAAGGAATGCCAGAAACCAAGGATATGCAAATACAACCTCTCATATTGCTGATAAATGTTGCATCCCCTTTTATGTCTTGTTTTAGCTTTGCTAGCCAGGATTGAATTTCTTCTCTCTCTCTCTCTCTCTCTCTCTCTCTCTCTCTCTCTCTCTCTCTCTCCCCCCCTCCCTCTCTCTCTCTCTCTCTCTCTCTCTCTCTCTCTCTCTCTCTCTCTCCCGCCCTCCCTCTCTCCCTTCTCTCCCTCCCTTCTCTCTCTTTCTCTCTTTTACTGGGGATTGAACTCAGGACCTTGAGCTTTCGAGGCAGGTGGCAGAACCACTGAACTGTATCCCCAGCCCCAGGATTGAACATCTAAAATCACTATTAAATGGGGAAAGTTTTACTAGGTTTTTTTTTGGGGGGGGTACTAGGGCTCGAACTCAGATCCTTGTGCTTGTAAGGCCCTAGCTTTGTTCTTGATCTACACCATAAGAAGTTCCCAGGTTTGTATCCGCAATGGAATTTCAGACAAACAGATGAAATCAAGCACAAAGCTGAGTTATCTCATTATACAGATTTCCAGTATTATGTGTTTTGTTTTGTTTTGTTTTGTTTTTGTTTTTGTTTGGTACCAGGGATTGAACTTGGGTCCTTGTGCTTGCAAGGCAGGCCACCGAACCACTGAGCTAAATCCCCAGCCCACCAGTATTAGTACCGATAAACTTCTTCTCAGATATTTCTTCCAGAATCCAACTGCATTAACACTAAGCCCAAGTATTCCATTCAGAACTCTGTATGATTTTCTTTTCACCAGAAGTGTTTGGAATGCTCTCCTACTTAATGCGCAAAACAGATGATTCATGAGATGGCAAAAAAATTTCCATGCACAAAAACATTGACAAGATTTTGAAGGCAGAAGTTAGGGAGCTGGGGATGAAATGTCTCCAGGACACTAAGATATAAGGCATGCAGAGCTGCATGAAGACAGAGGAATGAAGAAATATGAGCAAGTCACTCATATCTATAGAAAAAAGTTATAATAGGTCGGACTAAGAAATCAATTGCGAAAGTGCTTGAAACAGACATGGTGATGGAGGAGGGTGATCAAAACAATTATCACAAAATGCTATGGCACGGTGATATTGAGATATACCGTTGGTGGACTCAGCAGCGGCGGAAGTGGTCCCTGCGTCCGGAGGGAGGGTGGTAGCTGCTAAACCTAGAAGGGGTGGGGTATTTTCTGATTCACCTATACAGCAAAAAATCAGAGCAAAGAGAGGTAAAAGAAAAAAAAAAGTCCCAAATTTGTTATTGTATTTTAGTTTCTACTTAGGAAATTAGAAAAGTAACCAATGGTTTGTTGATTTCTCAAAAAATAAAAAATTAAAGTATGTTCACTGCCAAAAGGTTAAAAGCCCAATAAAGCAAAGTCAAGTAACTGCCATGTCTGCTCTCAGAAAGGCTACTACCCAACTCCTGCCTTAATAGAATGCTGAGAACTGAAGTGTGACGCTGAAAAGAAGGAAAGTCATTCTGAGGCTAGCAATCCATATAGTAATCATTTGAAAATTTAAAGATGAGTATGAACTGGGTAATGAAATAAGTCACCCTGAAAAAAATTGAAAGAGCAACAAAAATTCATAACAAGGAAGGAAAAAGCCTTAGAGGATAACAACTGCTCTATTTCCCAGTCAGTCACCTCTGGAGCTGTGACTGAGTCTCCTACCTTTTTCCTCCCCTGAAATCAGATTACCTCTGGACTGGCCCACTGAGTCTGGCTAACCAGGTTCTGTGTTCATTTTATTTACTTTTCTTTTTGCTCTCAGTCAAAACTCAAGTTATATCATCAACTGCTGCCTGCTATGAGAATGCACAGCTCCTCTTCATGAGAAGAGCACAGACAGGAAGCTTGGCAGTTTCAAATATCTCATCTGAAAAGGGTACCTGTAAGGTTATCTGCAGCATCCCCCAGATCATGCAGATGCCCAGCTGTGTCCATGATCCCCCTCAGGGCCCTGCAATGCAAGGACAACCGTACACTCACCATCACGTCCTCCGGGCCCCGCAGGCAGTGATGCTCCCCAGGAACACTTCTTCTTCAGCTCCAGCTGCTGCGAGCGCTCCAGGGACCTGCGCATCATTGCTTCCAGCCGCTCCTACCCAGTTCAAGCAAAGCGTTGGGTGTCACCAGAGAACACTATCAACCACCCAGCTCCACTGCACTGCTGTCTCAGTGCTCTCTAGGTGAGGCACCAAATGGGGCTTTCTGGGCTTAGCATCCCAAACCCAGGTGCTCTCTGTCACCCTAGCTGGTTTCTTGGTGGGTGGAGAGTAAACAATGCAGCTAGGCTAGCACTGGCTCTGCCCTCCAACCGAACACTGTGTCCTGTCCCCTCCCTCCTCCCCTCTCCAGGGAGAAGCTGCTGCTATGCCAGCCCTTGATTTGTTTAAAAATAATGCCCAACAAGCATTAACTCCTTCAGGCCTGTCTCAAATCTCATTTTGCTCCATCCAGGAAGAGGACCTGGATTTGGCTCCACAACCAATTGCAGTCTTTCCAATTTTAATGACAGAACATTTTGCTTTGAGAAAATTTAAACCAAGTTGTAATTTGAGTCCTTGTATCCTTAAATATAGTTTTTTTGGGGGGTGATACGTGGCTTTGGGATATATTTTGCAGAGCCCCATTTTCACCTTAAAACTTCTTAAAGGAAAATCAATTGTTCTACATTATGACACTTTCCTACTAATAGTACTCTAGAGATAATATTGCATGGTTCAAAATTTAAAAGCAACAAGAGCACAGAAACTTCCGGCCACAAAACAAAGCATTCAGGCATTCCCAGAGTTAGGCAGGTTTGGGATGGGGGAAGGAATAACTAAGCAATTTTTAAAAAGAAATGAAAAACAACCAGCAAGCTTCTTTCTTAAAAGAAGAGATGCATTCTCTTGTAATAACCAAGCTTACTTTCATGAAGCTGTCCTTGACACTGGAGTGAGGGCAGTCTAATTCTGTATCCCTCACCACCTCAATGACACTGCAAATACTAGCTCCTCTCCCTGCCTCCACCCGAGAAGGAACAAAACAAGGCCGATACCTTTAGCTCTCATCAAACCCAATTTGGAGGCATTCCGGGAACTGGGCTACTCTCTGACTCCATATCACAAAGAGACATGTTATTTTTCATTGTCTAATAAAACAGAACCATGCAAAAATAATTTAGGACAATAAAACTTGAGTAACCATGACTTAATCATCAGGAAAAGGCTCTTTTATTTCAGTTACTAGAAACATATAAAGACCACTTAGCGAGTACCTAGATTTATTCCTTTTGTCTACACTAGAAGGATGAGATTTTCTTCTACAAATCTCAGCCTTCTCTGTATAATTTTTCTCTGAATAACACTTTGCTAACTTTTGCTAAGAGATTTTTCCAGGGATCTTTGAGCAAAGAGGAATATTTTTCCTCTTGTAAGACTCAGATTTATACTTGCTAGGAACTGTGGTTTAGTTTTGGGCCAGCAACTCAACAATCATGAGTATGCATTTCCTGCCTCTCCTATTTTCATGATCCTCAGTCATTAAATTCTGATACCCAATACTGGTGGGGACTGAAAGGAACAGATCTCCACTACCATTTGATGCCTGAAATCAAATGAGATGGCCTGCATAGTATTTCATTATATGGATTTAATATAAAGTATTTAACCAATGACCTAATTTAAGTGTTGAAATCTTGTACCCTAGAATAAATTTCGTTTTGGGTAGTTTATGGTAGATTTTCTACATGCCAGAGAGACCTCACAAGATAGTTTCTCTTAGGATCAATAGAACAGGACAGAGGATGCATAAATAACCTTAAGCACATTCAACTGTTTGATCTTTGACAAAGGAGCAAAAACACACTGGAGGAAAGACAGCCTCTTTAATAAATGGTGTTGGAAAAACTGGCTATCTACATGCACAAGACTGCATCTAGACTCATAGCTTTAATTATGTACTAACCTAAAATCAAAATGGATCAAAGAACTAAATGTTAAAAGAGAAAAAAACCTGTTGGAAGATAAAATAAGTAAAACTCTTGAAATCATAGGCATAGGCAAGGACTTTCTGAACAGAACCATGGTTCTCAGGAAATAGTACCGATAATCAACAAATAGAATCATATCAAATGAAAAAGCTTCTGTTCAGCAAAAGAAATACAGAATGAAAAGAAAACCCACAGAGTGGGAAGAATTTTGCCAGCTACTCTTCAGACATAGATATATTCTATGTCTAGAATATATAAAAGACTCAAAAAATTTAGACCCCCCCCAAATAATGACCCAATCAAAAGATAGGCAAGTGAAATGAATAACACTTCACAGAAGAAATACAAATGGCCAACAAATGCATGAAGAAATGCTTAACATCACTGGCCATTAGAGAAATACAAATTAAAACAACACTGAGACTCCATCTTAGCCCAGAAAGAATGTCCATCATCAAGAAATTAAATAATAGGGCCAGAGATTTAGCTCAGTGGTTCCAGCGCCTGCCTGGCAAGTGCAAGGACCCAAGTTTGATCCCCGGCACCTAAAAAAAAAAAAAGAAATTAAATAATAACAAATACTGGTGAGACTGCAGGGGGAAAAGGAACCCTTCTACATTGCTAGTGAGAAGATAAACTAGTACAAACACTATGAAAATCAATATGGACAGTCCTAAAAAAACTAAAATTAGAAATTCCAGTTATTTTCCTTCTAGGTATCTTCCCCGAAAGAGTTAAAGATATCATGTTACAATGTCAGATGCATACCCATGTTTATAGCAGCACAATTCAAAATAGTTAAATCTTATAAGTGGACTATATATCCATAAGCAGACAAATGGATAAAGAAACTGTGGTATTTACATACGACAGAGAACCACTTTACCATAAAGAAAGATAAGCTGGAGTTATTTGTAGGAAAATGGATGCACCTTGAGGCTATAATGTTAAGTGAAATAGATCAGGGATTTAGGTCAGTGGTTCTGCTGCCTGCCTTGCAAGCACAAGGACCCCAGTTCAATCCCCGGTACCAAAAAAACAAAACAAATGATCAGACACACAAGCTTAAATATCACATGGTTTCTCTTATATGAGAAACCTAAATTACAAATAAAGAGCAAAATAAAATATAGATAATAGGAAGTAAAGAGATAGATCTTTCTCCAATGGGAAGGGGTTCAAGAGATGGAGAGGGAGGGGAGGCAGAGAGGATAAAAAAAGATGTATTCTGTACATGTACCAACTCCACACAAGGAATGTAAACATTATGTACTACAAACATGGAATAACAAAAAGGAAAAGATAGTCCCTCATTTAGTAGAGGCCCAGTGAGAACAAAAATAGTCTCACTGAGCCAGCCTACCAATGAGCAGTGGCCCTACCCCTGGACTGTTCAACTACCTTTACAAAAAACTACCCCTGCCATCCACCCTCCATCCAATGTGCTGCTCAAAATTCCATTGCTGGATGGGGAATGGGGATTAGTGGCGACACGCCTGCCTTGCAAGCACAAGGGCCTGAGTTTGATCCCTGGTACTGGGGGAAAAAATCTTTCATCCAAATTCCATTGCTGAAGATTTGACCCTTTGGATTTTGAAGAGGTATATGAAAATGTAGCTCTCCCCTGAGAGAAAGACAAAGGTAAGAGGAGGAAAAAAAACAGGTAGTTACCAAATTCTAAGAGAAAGGGACTTCTGGAACCCAGAGAAGACGAAATAAGATGATTGAAACATGTCAAAAACGAAACGTGTTCACTGCATTCTTGTCCTATATAGGTAGGTATTACCTGGTATTTGTACTTTTCTGTTCCTTCATGTGATGAAATGTAAAGAATTCCTAGATCTGGAGTCACGAGGTAAGTATGCAAATCCCACCTCTGCTTATCACATTTTAGCCCCGTGACCCTCAGTTAATCATTTTACATTCTTAGACTTTAATTCCTTCACCTATAAAATGATGATATTACCTAAATCATCAGATACATAATTCTAATTCTACAGAGTTAATCACAGCCTAGAATCTGAGGTGATAAACCCTTTACCAATAATGCCGAGTCTGATTTTGAAGAGGAGGATAGTTAACAGGACAGTTCAGAACAGTGGTTCTTAAACTTGAATGTGGATACATCAGAATCCCCAGTAGAGATTGTCAAAACACAGATTGTTGGGGTTTATCCCCAGGGTTTTTCAGTTAAGTCCAGGGTGGAGCCTGCTGAGAATTTGCATTTTTATTGAATTCCCATGTGCTGATATCCCAGACCACACTGTGAGAATCACTGGTTAGAGGAAAGGCTGAGCATGAGAAAGCAGTGGAGAGAAATTCAGTCACCTCAGAAAAAAAACAGTATAATAAATATTAGGACCGCATACTGCACACTGAAGTTCCTGCCAAGTTTTCATTCTCCTGAGTATCATTTGATGATCAACAGAGGACAGAGAAAGAGGAAAGCAAATTCTTGTCCTTAGAATATCCTTTACTGGGTGGGGCTTGCTAAAAGGAAGAGACAAGGAAGGTTTTACTCTTGAACCCTTGAGCTCTGGCTCTAGATCTGACAGAATGAACGCGGAGAATTGTGATCAAGGCGACCCACTGAGCTGGCCAAGCAGTACAAAAGTCCTCTAGCTGGAATGGCCCAGACGCTATTACCCAGAGAGGGGCATCTGGCAGGAGGGCGGGTGTCTTTTCCACTGCTTTTACTATATGTGTTCAGGAATGACATAGCAGGTACAAGCTCCCAATTGTCCTCACCAGGGCTCCAAAGAGGGCCTTTTCCTTCAGAAAGAGACTTCTGCATCTGGCCAAGTAGTCAGCATGGTGCCTCACCCAGCTGAGTGAAGTTTTTTTATAGGTGAATTCACAAATTTCTTGATACTTAAGTTGGTGGCTTTTGTTAGCTATCAAACAATGACAGTATGAACAGTTCAGATGTATCAAACTGACTTAAATGAAGCCACTCTTTAAAGAAAACTTTCTTTAAAAAAAAGAAACCTTTCTTGGTTATCTGTTTAGCACAAGAACACAGAGTTGACTTCTCCAAATCGCTCCTTCCAGGGCCACTACTCAGGAAGCTGCATTCCCAGGTGGAGAATAGACTGTCAGCCTTAACTCAGATGACAGAAACTTGTTCTGGCAGCTGATTCTGGTGTTGTGCAGCATGTGACCACTGTAAGAATCCACCTGAAGGAGAAAGGTGGTCTTCAGCAAGAGAATGAATTCAAGGTTACAGTCTCAAGTGGATACGGAATTCTCTCACCTGCAGAACAGGTCTGACACTACCTGCCATTACTGCCAATCCTTGAGACCTCTGGGAGCAAGACTTCATTTTGCCTTGCAGATGAGGGAGTGTGATGTTAGATGTTTCCTCCTGCTGCAGCTAAGTCTTTAGTGGTTTCACTTCTGGATAATTTTCTATTTGCTTCTGTCCTTTCTTGTACCCCTAATGTGGTGGCTGTGGGAGGGACATGCCAAGACACCAAAACATTTCTGCCTTGGTACAGACATGAAGAGATACCAAAAGTCACCGTGATCACCATAGGGACATGAGGTGAGAGCAGAGGAGGGTGAGGTGTCAACAGGTCTCATAGGGATCTCCTAAATATTAGACCTGGAGAGGTAGAATGAGGGCAACCCAAACATTTTCTAACTAGGTAGAGAAGCAAAATGGTCTGCACAAGATGAACAATATTCTCACTGAGGCTTTTTCCTCATTGATGGTGATGAAAAGAATTTAAATCTGGCACTAAGAAGAGATCAAGAATCTCCACAGGCACCAAGCATGCAGCAGCCCTGGCAGAGCTCTCCAAGAAGCATGGGAGAGAATGCTGAGGGCTTTCTTTGGAGAGGGGCTTCTGCAGGGCAGACTCATCCCTCCCTAAAGATCAACCATGATGATACCAAATGAGCCTCTGTATTGGAAGTATACCAACACCAACGTGCTTAAGTGGCCAGTTTGGATGTGGCAAGTCCTTAAGCTACACCTCCGTCTCCTGGGGCACTAACGGAGGGAGCAGGTGGTAGAGGAAGGCTTCTGTTTCCTTGGGCTACTACACAACCTTGGGAAGTCTGACTCTCAGCCCAGCCCATCCCTGCCCTGCTGTGCCATGCCATGCCTAGGAAGAAGAAAAAAGCAAGCTCAGATTGTGTTTATACTGACAAGGGTTAGTCAGCATCCCTACCCCTGGCTTGCCATATTAGCAATGCAAGAAAGCACAGAAGCAAACAAAATTAACTGGAAGTAAAGCCTTTAAGGATTCAGCTGCATCAGGACCAACCATCTGGTGTGACATTTCCTCATCTGCAAGGAAGAGTCATCTGATTGCTTAGTTTAACATGCCTCCAGCATTAATTTTCTATAATGGAAAATTATACACAGGGATTATCTCAAAAGCGGACCCCTGTGACACTGCAGGATGTGTCAGAGCATGAGAAACATCTAATGTGGCACTTTATAATACTCCTTCCTGGCAGCAGTAATGACAAACTTTCTCCTGAATCAGCAATCTCACAAGATGTCAGGAATCAAAATTCAGTGGGCAGGAAGGAGGGCAATGGGCTATAATTGTTAAGAAATGGAAAATGGGCGAGTCCAGTGACTCTGGAGAAATACACAGGCTAAGAAAGGAGAAATCTGTCCTGTTACCAAATGAGCCTCTCATACTCTTGGCTTTTTTTATAGTCTATAGATTCTGTGCCATAATCTCTCCTGAGTAGCTTCCTCTTGACCTTGCTTCAGCCAGTCAGTTTGAAGTAAAACTGGAGGGAATCTTATATTTCTGAGTGATTACTCTGTGCTAGGTGCTTTGCTGCACATTTTCACAAAAGTCACCTCCTTTAAACTGGGCATGGTGGTGCATGCCTGTAATCCCAGTACTCGGGAGGCTGAGGCAGGAGGATCGCTGTGAGTTCTGTGAGTTCAAGACCAGCCTGGGCTACATAGTGAGTTCAGGTCAGTCTCTACTACATAGTGAGACCTTATCTCAAAAGAAAAAAGTTACCTCCTTTAATTCCTATAAGCATCTCTGGGGGCTCAGCAGACAAGATAGAGGGATTATGTGACTCCTGGCTACTAGCTGCTTAGAGGTAGAGATAGGATTTGAACTTAGAGCAGATGAAGCCACAGCCAGCAATGGTGAACCATGTTGATTAAGAGCCTTGCTTAGACCTTCATTCGCTAAGAGGAGCAAAGAAATTGTAAACAGGTGTTTTGTGGACCAAGACTGGTCTAATTGTGTTTGTTTGTGTCATGTTCATGTGCTTTTTAAATTAAAAAAGAGGAAGGGATAAATATATACAGTGATAAACAACCATTCCGTTTTGTTAAAAATACCAAATTTATACAGAAGTTTTATATCCTGTAGTGATATAAACTGCTACATTGTTCATATAAAAGATGAGTCATTATACCTTATGAATAAAAAATGATTATCACCTGATACAAAGCTATGATTACATCCTTAAAAGATACTTAAGAAAATCTATAACCCAAATATGCTTTCTAAATACATTTTCAAAGTTTTACATTAAAGTTCTCTATAGAGATAATTGCATTACGATTCTTTTTTTTTAAAGGTTAACTGGAAAGAAAGGGTGATTAAAGTAAAGAACACTATTAATATTTAAGTACACAAGCATCTTTGTATTTAAAAGTAGACTGATTTTCCAGCAGTGAATAAAAGGACCATGTTACTCTCAACCCCCACAGCTTACACTCCATTCTTGTGTCTGCCCTGGAGGTGCCATCTCTGGCTGTAACACTCAGGTCTGTATCACCCAGCCTCTACCCCAACCCCCTGTGAAATCTTAATTTAGTCAGAGAAGGTTATGCCTGGAAGGGACCTTGGAGAGCACCAAATCCAACACCACAGTGCAGAGAAAAGTAAATTAGGTCCCAGAGAAGCCAACTGGCTTGCCCAATCATACAGCAAAGTGGCACCTGATTTAAATGGGTAATTCTTTGATCCTATGCAAGTGATGCTTCCACTGGATCTGCAGTGCTGAAAGGAGGCATGGTGAGTAAAGAAGCAGGTCTCTCTTGTACCCCAGGCTGGGCAAGATGCCCAGATACCCTAAGCACTACACTGAGCTGGCTGCAGTGGGGGCAGGGGCCCCAAGGACCTCACCTCCTCCTCCCGGAGTTTCTGCTTCCTCTTCTCTTCCACAGCAGCCCTCTTCTGGTCCTCCCGCTGCCGCTGTTCCTCCAGTTTTCGCCATCGCTCCTCAATTTGCTTTTCATACTGGAGCTTGGCTCTTCTCTGTTTCTCCAGGATCTGCTGTTCCCTGGCAGCTGGAGAAGAAAAGCAGAACAGAAATGTCATCTAGAGCACTCCATCTGGTTTGGATTAAGATCCAAAACAGAAGAGTGGAGACAAAAAAAAAAAAAAAAAAAAAAAGACTCTGGTGAGATCCTAGGATGTAACGATTGAGATCAGGGATTGTGGCGCCTGACACTAGCTGGATGACCCTGGGCACATTAACCATGCCGTATCTCTGTCTCGGTTTCCTCCTCTGTGAAGTGGGGACAGTCATGTTTACTATACCACAATACAGTGAAGACTAAATGAGATAGTGACATAAAGTACACACACAATAAGTAACCTCACATACAGGAGCTCTGACTATTGTTACTATCATTTAGTCAAACCTTATATACAGTGGCTAAACCACACATCCACTTGAGAATTACAGTTTTAGGGGGACATTCTTTCAAAACCATGTTAAAGGTACATGTACCAAGCATCAGATACTGACGTGGGCAAAGGGTTAAAATAAATGACTAAGACTGGTTATCCCACCACAATATTTACCAAGAGGCCCTTAACTCCACCTGACCAAAGGTTCCCTGTAGAGGATGCCTCAGCTGCCCAGGGGGTGGCCAAGCAAGGACTAGAAAGCTCCTTGTTTACCTCAATTCAATGGGCAATCAGCAGCTATCTACTTCATGGCACCCTTAGAGAACACTCTATTGTATTTATCTGTCTAGAGCTCTCAAGAAGTAAGACAGCCCATTTGAGAGATGCAGATGAAAACAACACTGAGATTCCACCTCACCCCATGAAGAATGGCTGCTAGCAAGAAATCAACCAATAGCAAATGCTGCTGGGGCTGTGGGGAGAAAGGGAACCTCCTCCATTGTTGGTGGGAGTGCAGACTGGTGCAACCACTGTGGAAATCAATATGGAGATACCTCAAAGAGCTGGGACTAGAGGTGGGAGTGCAGACTGGGGCAATCACTGTGGAAATCAAAATAGAGATACCTCAAACAACTAGGATTAGCAGTCCCAGTTGACCCAGCCATCCCTCTGCTGGGTATCTTTCCAAAAGAATTTAAAAAATCATATTGCAGTGATATATGTGCACCCATGTTTATAGTGGCATAGTTTGTAATAGCTAAAGCTTGGAAACAGCCCAGTCCCATTAACTGATGATTAGATAAAGAAAAAGTGGGTTTTTCTTAAGAAAATGGAGTACTACTCAGCTATAAAGAATGAGAAACTAGAGGCATTTACAGCTAAATGGATGCACATTGAGGCGATAACTCTTAAGTGATATAAATAGAACACACTTAAGTAAATACTGAATAGTTTATCTGGTGTGAGAAACTAAAAGTGCACATAAGGATCAAAATGTATAATTGATAATGTGAAACAGGAAGAAAAGGTCTAAAGGGGTAGGGGAAAGGAAAGAAGGTAAAGGGAAAAATATGAGAAAAGGAAAAAATGGAAACAAAGTCTCTGTAAATAGGAAGGGGTGAAGGGGTCGATGAGCGGGCAGAGGAATGGAAAAAAGTAAGAACTAAGATACATCATGTAGGGCCGGGGATTTGGCTCAGTGGTGCTGACTCCTGCCTCACCAGCACAAGGGTCCAACTTCAATCCCCTGTACCAAACAAACAAACAAACAAACGAAGATATATCATGTAAGGGTACAAGTTCCAGTGATGAAAGTAACTTTACTGTATGCCTAAAATGTACCAAATAAACTTAATGGAGAAAAAGAAAAATGCCTTTCTCAACTGGGGCCTCCTGTTCTAAAATGATTTAAGTGCTGATTTTCTCAGTTCTCCCAAAGATAGACCTTTTAGATGCTCAAAAGGCAAGCTGAAAGAGTGCACACAGCAGGCGCCTAAGGGCATTCGGACTTGCCAAGGTTTCTGTTCTTCACCAACATGTCTCTAGCCCCTACCATGATGGCCAGGACACATCACAGGCTTGGTGTTTGCTGAGTGAGTGAGTGGGCTGTTTAGCAAATTATGTAACATTTATTAGCATGCCAACAGACCTGTGGGTTTACTCTCAATTCTTCATATTTAACTAATAACTGTTCTAATTCTCTTCGCATTCATTCTCAGATTTCTAAGATTTATAGAAAGACACTACTCCTCTTTCTTGGACCTAAACAGCCAAAGTGTACAACTTACCCAGACATTTTTCTCTTTCTTCTCGTCTCTCTTTGGCTAGTCTTTGCCTCTCATCCGATTTTAAAAATCCATCCATGCCTATAGAAAAGAAAACACAATGATACTTAGCTTTTCACTCTTTCTCTATTTGCTGAACATTAGAGGCAGCTGGGCATACACCTCAGGTCTGGCTACCAGCATGTTAACCATCGCCATCTAAACTTATCTAAAGGTAAGCTGATCTATCACTCCCTGACACACATATGCAGCCGGGCCCTAACAGCTGAAAGGCAACAGCCACAGCTTCCACACACATCTGCAAAGTGGTATGGACATCAGCCCAAGAGGACATGGCCCTTTCTGTAGGCCTCTGTCCCCAGGCCTGACCCTGGACGGGTCAGATAGTATGGTGAGTGACAGAGAGGCCTGGCCATATGCAGAGAAGTTCACCAGGCCTCTTCTAGTCCAGTTTCCAGGCCTGAGGATAGGGACACCTGGGGGAGAAGAGATGCACAAAAGTGGACAAGGTTTGTGATATAGACTATTACACAGATCATGAACATTTTACTTTCTGAAAGGAGCCAACTGCTGAGGGACACATACAAGCTCTTCAGGAGAGAGCTTCTTCTTTGGAGCCTCTGTGAAATTCAACACTCAAGTTTGATTTCAGTTCTGCCAAGTTTGCGCTGATCTCAGTTTAGCATCTCAGAACCAAAGAAGAAAGGATATAATGTAATCCTGCTTACTTGTCTTTCAAATATCTATAACCAGTAAGAGAACAAATGACAGCTCTCCCAGAAATGTCCAGGAAATATCCCTGGAGCCGTGCACCTCCATCTAATCCCTACAGGACCCTAAAGGGCCTACTAAATTAGATTAAATGGATCTTCACAGTTGTTTAAAGGCTAGAAATAAATTATTGCATTCAGTTACAACTGGTTGTGAGTGTTAGCAGCATAACTTTGAAGCACCCTGTTCTGAAAGAACTGGCTCTAGTGCTAATGCAACCAGATTCATATCTCCAGCACCTGGGCCTTCCTCTCTGAGAGCATCACACTGGCTGCACAAGATGCCTTGCTGCCATGGAACCTGTGCTCTTCCAGGGAGGATCTTGCCAGCTGGTGTCCAGGAGAGGGGCCCAGAAGGCACTGGGAAAGTGGACAGGGGATGAGGCAACAAACTCTGGGTTGTCACGATTCCCCACATTTCTGTTTTTTCAGGCTGTATTATGTATCTGGGACACTAAAGCTCAAGAGAAAAGTACTAGAAAATCAACCGTGGACTACAAGCACCATCTTCCATGTTTCTTCAGTCAATTCTTAATTATTTTGAGGCTACCACCGATACGAATACCACATGAACCAAATACTTAACTCATTCTAGGTCCCCCCTGTGCTGACGCTGAACTCTCTTCCCAACATGATGGTACCACTGACCTTTTCCCATATACCTTCTGGCTTGCACTGCCCCCTTCTTCCATTACCCGCCTCCCTCATCACCTGTTAAAACCCCACAGTTCCCTAGACCCATGATATCCTGCACTCCCACACAGTTTGCTAAGACCTTATTTGATTCTCTTTTACTGCAGAAATCTCTGTAACTCAATCTCCCCTGGTAGGCCCCAGAGCCCTGTATAACTGACATAGCCTTGGGTCTGCTCAGCTTGGGCTTTAGAGCCCCTCACCTGGTACCTCTGAGATACACAATGCTCCAAAGGCCGGCATGAAGTTAATGGCAGGGGATCTGCGAAAGAAAATCAAGTTTCTACTATGCTGACATGAAGACTCACTTGTATGAATTTATACTGTATGGAAAAACTATTAAAGAAAAGCCTAGAGCTCCTGAACAGACGCTTCCCTCAGCACCCACACCAACCTGCCCACCTAAGTAGGACTTGAACCTTATTCTCTACTGCCCTTGCCACCTTCTTGGTAGTAATGGGTCTACCCCAGATCTAAGGTAATTCCAATGTGTTCTTCAAACAGAAAGAGAGGGAGAGGGA